TAATTAATGAGATTTGTGTTTAGATTTCTGTACCGTATACGAGTATCTAAACAGGATGCTCTTACAAAAACCCATTTGCATCTTTTAAAATAGAGCTGGACTTCTAGGAACATCACCGTTAAATATAAAGTAGTATATACAAACTCTACTTAAATATGTATAAAATGATTTCTATATAATTTCAAATGAAAGCATATCTCCTTTGGTCTCATAAATCTACTGAGTTTTGTTTGTCTAGATCCCCAGCGCTGAACGTTTGTTGGCTATAATAATAATATACCTAATATAAGGATTTTCGATATGGACTTTATATATACAGTATGTAAGATATCCTTATGAAATTAAGTGAACATATAATCAAGGTAATACTGTTATTTATTACCGAAAGACCTAGACCCATTATACCAAATGTTGTGATTTTTATACTCTTGCAACATGTTGCTGCAGAGTATAATAGTTTTGTTCACCTAACGGTTGTTTGTATCACCTAAAACTAATGGAGATATATATAGGGTTATATATATACTTATATAAATGATTAGGATGACGAGACAAGTTGAAATTCGAGTGACCATTACCTCGCTTACAAAACTCCATTAAACGAAAACTTAAAAAAAGCCATAACTAAACTACAAGTTAAAATGCAAAACATTATTTTGGTACAGGAGATCGCAGTTTCCAAGGACACCTGTGGGCTAAAAAATGTTTTAAAGTAGACGTGGCTGCGAACTTTAAAACGCTTAAGACATATAATCCTAAATTGCTAAGAAGAAGTGGTTTTAACACTTCTTCAAACTCTGTGACTGGGTAAAATCGGATAATAGCCACGACCAAACGCCATATAACGGTTATGTTAAAAACTAATAAAATTACTATAACACACAAAATAAATGAGCCACAGGAAGGTATAGAAGGGCTTTTTAGGATCTGTTGTGAAAATTGAACAATGGGCGTGGCACTTTACCACAAAAATGAGCGAAATCGGTTGACAACCACGCGTAATTCCCATATAGCAAACATTTTAATTCCGTCTGATTCTTTCACTTTACAGTATAGACATCGAACATCAATAAAGTTATCAGAATAAAACTTTGCACAAATAGTGCACTCAAGATATTTTATCGTAAATTCAAAAATTGTCGAAATCGCAATATAACTTGTGATGAAAATGGGTAAAAGCAAGTCAACACTTCCCTTAGCCCTCATATACTTAACATAAATATATTCGAACCTTCGATTCATTTTATACCGCATCTATCAATCAATATGTAGGAAACCTTAATGAACAGTGTATTCTCTTTCCTTAAATGAATGAAATCACGGCGATACTTTCCTTAGTTTGATATAAAGTTTTGCCAAAAAATGAAAGTGTTCATCCGTCTATGTTTCTTGCAAGTTGCAAGAGTATTAAATGTTCGATTGCACCCGAACTTAGCAATTCCTTACTTGTTTATATTCTAGAAGACTTTATGCCGCTTATATCGAAACATTGTTACTATTGTATAATGGTGAAAAAATATGTTTTTGTGTATATGTTTTAGTCTTGGTGAATCTTGCATCCTACTTCACGTTATACTTGCAATGGGTTCCAGGGCATAGTGATATCCTTGGGAAGTGTGAAGCAGATGAACTAGCCAGAACAGGCACCACTCTGGAAAAGAGAGAATTTATATGCCTCTGGCTACTTGCAAATATTTAATCTATAAATATGTTATAAACATAGCTGAGTCACGGTGAAACCAAGCCCTGACTTTCTCAAGAAGCAGGCAAACGTGGCGTGAATGGAATATGGGCCGCACACACCGACTTTGAAAATTTAAAATTAACGATATAAAAACTCAGGTAGGAGTACTAAGAGGTCACTATCTAATTGACAGACATGCCAATAGACTAGGATCGCCAAATAACGATTATTGTAGAAGATATCAGGAGGTTGAAGAGAAGGAGACCATTAAACATCTTCTATGCTACTGTGAGTGTCTATATAGAAAAAGAATCCACTATCGGTCGTGGGTTTCAGGACGACGTGTCTCCCTAAGGCTATAATGCAAACTCTCAAGAAAACCGATTTGTATTTGCTAAGGGTATTATAACTTCTATAAATCGTACGCGAAATAAGTGAAGCACACACCACGTTAACGACTTCATTTCTAGGAAACCCCTGATTATTTAAAATACTTTTCCACATTAATGGCTTTATTTGATTCAAAAGCATATATGTATTCCTACACACGCGCACGTTCTGGTTATCCTCTCACACACCATCCGTACGATTTATGCATACAACTGTACACCCACATAGACAACGTGTAAATCCTCCCAGAAGAGAGTGTGTAAACCGCTTGCCAACCAATTTGGCTGTTTGTGTTCGATTGTTTTTATCGGCTGCTTACATTTAAAAATAAAAGGGCAGAGATTCAGATGTGATTTAGCTTTCAAGATGATGGTGGACGGGCAGTGGGGGCAGAGCAACACAAAATGTGTGTTAAAATAAGAAATGAAAACAGAATGAAAGAAAAAAAGTTAAAATAAAATGCTGTTTCCTGGAAATCGAAGTCTTATGCGTCTTATGTCTCGGGAGGTGGGCCTACATGTGGCGAAAAAGTAAGTCGTAAGTAAACGGTGGAAAATAAACAAATAAAATATTGTGAAATTTCCTCCTCCGTTCGGTACTTAGTGTTTGGTTTCATTTCTCTAACACAACACAAAACAACTGTGGTTGCGGCATTGTTACTTTTCAGCTTTTATTCTTATTACTGTTGTTTTATTTCAAATGTTTTTTCCCCTTTTTTTCTGAAGATACACAATAATCAACATATATACACCTATTTGAGTGGCTTGATTTCTTTTAACAAAAGGTGGATACATAGTCTACGATAAATATCTTTAGAAAACTTCACTCATTTTGGTGCTTAAGAGGCGCTATAAAAGAAATATATATCCCCCACTCTAGAGTATTAAGCTCAGTGACTTTAAGTTCGTATTGTGGGGGACGCAAACTTATGGCGAAGTCGGCTTCGAGAAGGTGCTCAGACGCTTTGCTTTAGTACACAAAATGGATATTGTTTTAAGTATACATAGTTCTCTAGGTAGTTAAACACCTTTTATCAGCGATTTTATAGTGAAAAGCTTTGAATTTGTATTGGTGTAAATTGCCTAACACTTTTGCAAAGTACTGTTAAAAAGCTCTTTGGGCATTGGCATGGAGCAAGGAGTAGAATAAAATAAAATAACTCGTTATAGCGAGTGTTTGAGTGTAATGAAAAAAGCTCTGTTGTGTAGTATGTCAAACCCCAATATTTGCTAAACTGGTATTATCGGACCATTGTTGATGAACGTCTATTGGGTTAGTGAATAACGTTATAAATACGTGACTACTCAGCCTGGAAGTTTAGTCCACCTAATGAACTTTCGGTAAACGATGGATGGTGATCGACATGACCGGAACTCATCGCATTGTTGCTACTATAGTACTTTTACTAATTTTCACTACCCAAAAAAAAAAACCAAGAGTAACGTTAATGTAATTAAAATGATCCAATAATCTACACTCTTAAAACTGAATGTAAAATCACTATAGAACAAGTAAGGAACGCCTAAGATCGGGTGTAACCGAACATTTTATACTCTCGCAATTTTCAAAGATTAAAGCGGATTGAATACTTTCAGGTATGGCAAAACTTTGTATTAAAAAATATTGGGTAGAATTCAATATTCGTTGTTCGATGAAATTATAAATGGATGACAATCATATTTGGTATCTAACATAAGCTATAGGTGATATAGTCACTTCTAATAGATTCGATACATTTATATTAACATCAATCTAACTAACAAGAATCTCTTTGTTCATCATATTAGTGCTGGGAGAAGGTATTCCTGCATATTTGAATTGAAATATTATTTTCTATTGTGGTATATGAGGAGCGGAATTCAAAATATTGGGTATAGGAGGGAAAAGTAGATGGATGTGTGGATAAGGATACGGAAGATACGAAAGTTTATATACAGGGGCTTGGGTGTACGCCGATTTCGTTCATGTTCAGCAGGTGGTTAAGAAAACACTAATTAATATATCGCACATATCGACATTGGAAAGGCGAAGAATTGAAACAATTATATCCATTGTCGACACAAGCACAGGCAATTATCATAGAAATATCCTCTCTGAATTTAGTTAAGATAACTCGCATATTGACCGATATGTGCAAAATAAAGTCAGTTGAAAGTTCGAGAATGGATGATAGTGAAACTATTGACCCGATGCTACCCATTTCTGACACAAGGGCACATTATCAGGAAAATAGTCTCTCCGAATTTCATTAACAAATCTCAAAGATTGACCAATATTTTCGGTATAAAGAGCCTATCTATGGTTCTGAGGTTCACATTTTCAGTAACTGGTTTGAAAATTTATGGTTCGATTTCGACGATTTTTGGTTGGGAGCTGACCTCTCTGGAGAACACTATTTTTGCAAAGCTGTATGCTCATGTCTTGATTGGTGCTTAATTTATGTAAATTTACTGTAAAGTAAAAGAAGCATATCGAGTTTTAAATTGTGGTATGGCATGTAAGCATGGTCGTGTTCCGATAACGCCCATTTTTATAAATATAATTGATTGATATTTTTATTGCTTTAAATGTTTAATATAATTTACTTAAATTGTAACATAATAAATATCAACTCAATATAGTTTAGTCTTATAGTAGATTTTACAAATATTTTCTTGATTGTATTTTATTTTTATAAAGTTTTAAAAATTAAAATGATTATCCAGTTATTAAAAGATAGAAGAGCAGAATAGGATTTTAGTAATGCCAATGGGTTAATGTTAAAGATAAAACATTCGTACAACACACATAATTCTTAAAGTTAAGCGCACATATGCTGTATTGAGAATTGTGACTATTTTTATCTTTTCGCATTCGTAATTTTCGAACAACTCTGTTTCACTACAAGCAAGTAACAGAAGCAAAATTATCTCATCAATGTTTCAAACTGTTAGTGCGTCATTTAAGTAGATTAAATTTAAAGGCATTACCTTGCTTACATTTACGAAATAATTTCAAGGTCAGCGATCAAAAGTGCATTCGTAAAGTAGTTAGAAAATGCTGCAAAAATGAACGAAAGACAATGTGAAAGAAAATGCTTGGCACTCAAATTTGCTATAAAAGCGCTGGTTAACGGCGAATTAAGCACAGTTCACCCAGATCTAACACAGCTGCTAAATTAGTTTGAAACAATGGGCTCCAAAGTGCGTATGATTGATATATACTTATCTAATATACCATACATATTACATACATATATATATTAGAATGTAAATTCACAAATCCTTCGTCTTTTCGGTAGGTTTTCGCTGCACTCGTATGTTGCTTCGCATTGGTGGTGGTCAGCGCCTTACCGTACGGCCATCATGGACATGGTCATGAGGATCACGGTGCTTCCAGTCACGCTTCAGTGCATTTAGTCTCACACGACGATCATCACGATCACCATGATCATCACGGTCACCACGAACATGGACACGACGATGGCCATGACTCACACGCTGAGTATCATTTCTCTTATGGCGTGAAGGATAAGAAGACCGGCGATATCAAGGAACAGAGTGAACACCGCAAAGGTGACAAAGTGTCCGGACATTATGAGCTCATTGAAGCGGATGGTCACAAAAGAACTGTGCACTATACGGCAGACAAGCACAGTGGTTTCCATGCCGTAGTGCACCGTGAACCCACACACCATCATGTAGCTGATCATGGACACGCCAGCTACCATGGTGGACATGCCGAGGTTGAATCGCACGATGGTGGGGATGCTGGTCATGACGACGGTCATGGTTATGGACATGGTCACGAACATGGACACGGCCATAGCAGTCATTCCAGTGGCTACTCAATCAAACAAGAACATGGTGTAGCTGTCCATCATCATGGTGGACACGATTCCGGTGGACATGGTGGTCATTAGATGACTTAAGTAAAAAAAGAGTCCTTTTATTTTGTTTGTAATTGAAGTTTTTGTTGAATCCATATCTGGTGTTAATAAAGTTAGTTAAAAGTTAAAAGCAGTTGCTTCTTTGTTTTAAAGATAAACACAGTATAGAAAAATGTTGTCTCGACTGCAACGGTCCTTTAAATGGCTTTCAGACTAAGAAGTTACCGACAGGCCCAGGAAGTTGTATTATTTTTCAAAAGTTAAATTATTAATTCAAAATTAGAATGCTTTTGATAGGTGATAGGAAAGGAGTTTAAAACTCAACCTTATGCCAGAAACTCGTTCGGACGTCGATGGAATTTTGCAATATACCTATGAGCAAACATGAGTGCGTTTATATGTAGTCCTTCAGTCAATCAATGAAAGAAATTTGGTTCTTAAAGAGATCAATGCCACCATCGCTGCTGAAGTTAGAAATATAGAAATCCTTCTTGTGGGTTTGCAATTTCTGTGCGACCAGTGGAAAGAATTTAGAGCATGTCGAGACGATGTTATCATCAGCAAGAAAAGAAAAAAACACCGAAACAACCTTCATGAAGAAGTGGATGAAAATTGCAGTAAAGAAGTATTTGAATTCTAAAGAAACACTTTCTACGTCTTACTTGACAGAGTTAGCTGCGGAATGAAGAGAAGATTCGCCGCAGTGAGTAACATAAACGAATCGTTCTCATTTCTATGGCAGTTCCGTGATAAAAAAGAAGATGAACTAAACGCCGCTGCAAAAAATGTTGCAAAAAAGTATTCCGTTGATGTATCTGAAAAGTTGTGCAATGAAACTATACACCTCAGACATGTTTACGATGCAAATTTGGAAACTCGTCTTACACCATACAACTTTTTGAATGTCATCAATACTCGAAAATTAGAAAGACTTTTGCAAATACTTGCATTGCTTTGCGAACGTGGTGCACTCTACCCATTTCTGTTTCAAGTAGTGAACGTTCGTTTAGTGCTTTAGCAATCACGATAGTCAACAGATATCAAAAGAACCGTTTCTTTATTAATTAGCTCGATAAATAGATGTTTGAGTCATTTATTTCTGTCTTTCTCTCAAGTCTCAAGTCTTGCTATCCCTATATTCTTATATTCCGGTATAATCTAAAAAAAAATTTTGACTGAAATTCTATGTATGAAGTGAATATCGATTTTCAACATCGTACAAAACAAATCATTCATGAGAGGAAACAAAGATGTTTTCTATGTATTACAGGCTTTAATTATGAGTGAACTTTCATCAAGATGATATCAATCAATATAAAATCAATAGCTCCGGGAAGGTCTATACTAAAGAACGGGATTCAAAATGTAATTTTAAGGAAATCGGGCGCGGGGATCTTCGCTTTTGTTTCCTTTCTACATTGAAAAGTAAAAACCGCTGATAAAACTCAAGAGGTATATATTTATAATTAAAGTGGACGTGGCTGTAACCCGGCGTCGTTCATGTTCGAAATATGTGAAATAGAAATCATACAAATAAAAGCAAATTTTATTTAAATCGGTAAAGGGCTTCTGAGTTATGAAATTTGTACTAAAAATTAATGTTGATTAGGTGTGGTTATCACTTCTCTGTGTATATATCAAAACATTTAGTGGGCGGGTCGCATCCACTTTTCGAAACCAAAAACATGGAAATCAATTGGAATATTTTAATTATAATAATTGTAGCTATATCGTTTAGTCATAGATGTTACCAACAACTGTTAGGAGAAAGAGACTATTTTACTTGGTGATACAAAATGCGAGAATATAAATATTCTAACTCGCTACTGTTCATTTTCGCTCGAACTTAGAACTGTCTTACTCATAAGTTTTTGAGAAATATTTTTATAAGTATTTTAAGGAAAAAGTCGCTAAAATTACGAATATTGAATGTAAAACAATCGATGCGAGATATATCTTTATGAAACAGTGTTAAATGAAAGCTTATCGAGGTCACTGCAATATCAGTACAACTTGTTTTGTTGCAAGGAGCCGTTAGTAATATTACCGTATGTTTTTGTGTATGTATTTTATATACATACATCATTTCTGATAAACAAGAAACTTTAAATTCGACAGCTAAAAGGCCCCTTACGAAAACGAGGCGTAGAAACGATGATGCAATTCACTGTGCGCATTTTTACTTTGTGCGCATTTTTACGTAATAAGTGGCGAAATCTTTGGGCGGAATTTGTTTATACAGTAATACATCTGTCCTATTGATGTAAGTATATGGTCTGCACATATAATTAATGTAGTTGTGTGTTTTGAATTGATTTGTCGCTTTCTCTCGCTTTTGACAGCCTGCCTAGGAAAATGGGCAAATTCATTCCGTACCCAAGCGGTCATTACACTTTCAATACTTGGTGGTACACTTTTAATGTTTTACGCACCATCATTACCATAAATTTTTAGCTCTATGATAACTGAGTTGTTTGACAAAGTATAACTATATGGAGTAGTTACATAAAAATCTAGTTTTCCATTTATTGGAATTGCAACGAAGAAGATACTCGGGAGATCACCGAGGAATGCAAAAAAATTTACTCTTATAGACCAAGGTAGATAATTGTGGAAAGAAAAACAATCATAGTAGGAATAGTACTTGTATAGTAATAGAATCATAGTATGAAAGAAAGAGATAAAATGAAAAGAATGAAAGAAAAAAGAAAAAAAGAAAGGAAAAACCTAAACTATCCTTCACAGATGCATTTTTTATAGCATAAAAGAATGTAAAGACGATCTTTATTCTGATTTTAATCGCTCATTTTCTATGGCGGCTATAGTTTTCCGGTATCGGCGGTTTCGACGAATTAACAGCATCTTGGGAAGAGAAGAACGTGTGCAACCGTTTTCCTAGAAAATTAAAAAATATTCCACAATGATTCATTATTAACTAAGAACCATACGAGCAAATCAGAAACCACTTTTATGTCATTTAATAGTCAGAATAATGCCAATAAGAACGTTCTCTTAAGGCATGTCTCTAGTGGGAAAATGTTGGAAAAAAATTATATTGTGACATGACTTAACATCATTGAAGATAGCAGCTATACTTTTTTAATGAGGTACGAATTCAATTAGTTAACTTTATTATTGCTTTTAGAATTTTAATATTATTTTGAGCAGAGAGTAGCGTGCAAATAAAGCGAGCAGAGTGATGTCGAATCGAAAACAGCTAATGTATTTGAGACAGTGCTTCAACCATCCATGAAAATGAAACTCTAATTACTCTATAGTTGGTAAACGATTAAAGAATGTTGTGTTTAACATTTTCTAAAGTAATAGAAAACAGAAGGATTAAGCAAAAAAACCTAAAAGACTTTTAATTTTAACACAATTAAATATGTTTTTAAGTGAATCAATATTTGATTGGCCCTTATTTACAGCAATAATTTCTTGAAGATCCAACGCATGCTTTGGACTAACAACTTTGCGTCGTTTTTGGCAATTTTCTCCCATTCAGTTATCAAAACTTTTTTAAGAGATTCTTGGATGTTATATAGATCTTGCGAATCTTTTTTTTCAACCGATTCCAAATATATTCCATGTGATTTACATCCGGAGGTTGGAAAGTTTAAGAGTTACTCCTTACGTGATTGGGTTTTTCCATACTTTTTGAACGTCATCCGAATCAAACATTTTGAATTTTGACTCGTCACTCCTTACCACGTGATTCCAAACCGCGTCAGGATTCTCAACATGTTCCCGACAATGTACTCCTCCATCAACCCCACCCTCAAGCCTTTATCCAACCGTAAATAAGCTCACTGTCACTCTACTCTAGCAAGTCCTTCGCTCCTATGCCTCCCTCGAAGATATGTAAGCAGAGAAGCAACAGCCAGGCCTAGGCTCGGCGACCTGGTAATCCAAGTATTTTGGAGTAAAATAAAAATGTTCGAGTATTCCAGAGTGCCCAGGTTCGCAGTCATCTAAGTACCTAGATTATCTGAGTGAGCTTTCGCCGCGATGCACCTTGCGGCTATATCTACCGGTAGTATATGCAGCAAGACATTCAGTGCCATAGTTGATTAGTTCGTAGTGCACCACAAATACTGCGGAGAGCAGCCCGTTAAACAATCGTAAATTATTTCGTGAGCGTACTCCCTTTAATTACCCTTTAATTACAAGTTTAGATAGTTTTTCGAGTTTCAAATGGAATTTCACGACCACGTGTTGTATTTTTTGACCATATTGAATTCCTGGAAGAAGTGAATGGCGTTCCTACGCCAAATATTATATCTTAATAGCATCTTGGAACGTTGTATGAAAAAAAGTTTCCGATTATGGTTTGTATTAGTTGGATTTTCAGACCATGAATGGAGTAGTGTACGTAAACTTTTTTTGCTCACTGTATTCAATGCAGAATAAAAATTATCGACATAATTTTACTATGGTTCACTGCGTTAAATATAACTGAGATCACTTAATATAATGTGAGGTAATTTTTCAAATTTCGAATTTCGATTTTCGATTTTATTAATTAAAACAAATTTACCGATATCATCTACAAATGTGCGCATTTTTGAACTTCACCTAAATAATTCTAAAAATTTTGTTCAAATTGTATCGAAAATGAGCGCTGACAGGAAGTATTATTTTCCAAATTATGGTCAGAAAAATATATTACAAAGACTATTGATATTTTTTTTGTAATTCGTTATACAAACGAATCTGACTGCGAATGTTTGTACATATATATGAATTAATTTTCATAAAAACTAACGACTATGCGCTGCAAGTTCGTAAGCAAATATTTCAATGTATCGCAGTGTAAATTTAATACTTTGCGTCGTGGAATCACCGAAGTAACTGTCGAAACTACAAGTACTGTACTACATAAGCCCATAAATAATGCAATGGTATATATTCTTGTGTTGTATTTACCATGATTATCCGGTAGTGTACATACACTCACTTCTATCGCATTGTAAAAAAAAAATCGGAAGGTGAAGGAAATCGGCAAACCTTTTATGGATTTCCAAATAGACGGCTGTGCTTTTCATCATAATAAATAACAAAATGTTATGGCAAATGTGATATGCCAATTTATGAGCTTGGAGCAATGGAGCAATATGAATCACACATGCCCCTCTAATGTATGATTCAATTCGCCCCAAACAATATTGGATCACATTGGAAAATACCTTTCAAATCACCAGCATGACTTATGGTTGAAGAAGTATCCTTTCAACGGCTGGGCAATGGGAAAATGATTGCCTTTACACAATAACCACCTGCTAGACTAGCTATAATATTGGTGATATTGTTGTTAATGTACATACACTTTGAGCTGTATGAAAAATAATTTCAAAAAATCTCGTTTCGCGTCGATCGTGCATATTTTTTAGAAAATAATCTTCCTAGTTGATCAGGTGCACAGATATCCTCAGCACAATCGGATGGAAGATATCTGAGTGCTACAAGTTCGCGCCGTTTTGTGCCAGAAATTTCGCCATTTTTCGAAGTAAGCCTCCAAAATCGCAATATTTGGTTTCGAATTTTTAAATTGAGCTTATTGAAAACATCATTATCAATTACAGTATATATTTTCCTAACAAAATAAATTATGGGTGCATTTTCCTCTCAGTTAGATGATGTTTGCATAACATTTTTCGGTAAAGCTAAATATAAGAGGTCAAAGTCGAATCTTCGAAAATCAAAGATGACCTCTTCTGGATGAGTGCTGCCTTCAAGCGGTCCAGTTGTTGGCAGTAGAGGGCCGAATTGAGCGTTTGGCCATAGGGGAGCAGCTCGCAGTAGATGATTCCTTGCCCATCCCACCAAACACACAGTAAAACCTTCCTGGCCTTCAATCAGGTCTTCGCCACCATCTGGGCCATTACCAAATGGAATTATTTTTCCGAGTGCCTTACCATTGAAAGCATAGCGATCAACTAGCAAATCGTGCTATAAAACAAACACAAACGTACATTAGTAAAGTATTTGTATATATAACCGGTGTTCACAATTCATATCCGCTAAAGTCGATATGACAATTGAAGACTTTAAAATTCTCCAGAATCGAGTTAAGTTTTTATAGCTTATGAACGCACTTATACACCTCTCAACTCACATCATAAGGGCAGCTGTGATTCAAATTGCTATACTTGTCCAAGCCCATAGCTTTATAGGCGAAATTCGCTACAAAATTACGACGTTTATTACGAAAGAAGGCACAACCATCAATCGTGTATTCCACCATGGGTGCGCGATTTTCGTATCCCCGTTTCACCAATAGCGCTGAAACCTATTAGGATACGCATTAAAATGCATTATATTTGGTTGCCATTTTCTTTACTTTATACAAGAAAAAATATAGTTTTTACTTTTAATCTTACCGTCACATTATTTATTGGCCCTTGTAGGAGTGATATCGCCACGGAGACCTCCGTTATGTCATGTGGCATTTGCTTCAAAGTGCAAAGTGTAATATTTATCACTGTGGGTTGCACAGGCTCACAGGTGATTTCAAGTAATTTCATGTTTTTTTCCTTAAACAATTTAATAAAAAATATTAATTGGCAATGACCAAACTTTTAATAAAACCGATATAAAAAATTCAAACTAACATTTTTCACTACTTGCAATTGTATGCAAGCAATTAAAGTGAACGTCAACCTTCTGCACAATCGAAACATTTGACCAAGACTACTATTGATTCAATTTGGGTTCGATTACCAAAAATATTTAATTGGAAGCTCAAATGCAACTCTACTTACTAAACACATCAGAATCGTTTATTATTGGACTAACTAGATGAGGGTGTCATCGACAAAAAAATATGTATCTAATGGGCTCAAATCACTTTTTAATTGATTTTAATCTCTATATTATCGTAATTTTGTTACTGAAAGTTACGAGGTTTGTTCAAAAAGTATCGCGAATTTTGAATTTTCGCAGGCTACGTGTATTCGATTTTCGATTGTTTTGTTGAGTTTTGTTAGTACTCATACTCTTGCTTATGCTGATAAGGTCGGCCATTTCAAATTTTTACTTAATTCTTGACAGCTGTTTTGCTTAAACGCGTTTTGATTCGTTTTCGACTTTTGCTTATTTTAAAAAATGTATCAAAGAATTTGTATACAATTTTGTGTGAAAAACCAAATTAAGTGCGCGGACGCGTGCATAGTGAAGCTACCTTGGACAAAAGCAACGTTTATCGCTGGTACCAAATGTTCTCAGAGAGTCGAGAAGATGTGAATAACGAAGAGCGTGCCGGACGCCCGAGTACGACAACAACAGATGAAAACATGAATGAAGTGAAGAAAATAGTATTGGTCAATCGTCGAATTATCATTAGAGAATTGATGATTTAAGTATGAGTCGGGTCGCCAAGAAGTTTGTGCAAAATTGCTCAATTTCGACCTAACCCAGCGTCGCGTTGACATTGCTCAGTAGATGTTGGACTCAGTCCGCCACGACGCAGATCTGCGCCAGAGAGTTATAACTTTTGACGAATATTAGGTTAATGGTTATGACTTGGAAACCAAAGTTCCATCATCCCAATGGAAGCTGCCGCATGAGCCAAGACCGAAAAAGGCGCGCCGTTTGATCGAATGATGAAGGTTTTTTTTGACCCCCTGTGACTATTTTTGTTCCCAAAACTGAAGATGCCCATGAAAGGACGACGCTACGCTACGATTGAAGAGATAAAATATCACAAAAAAAGATCACAGAAATGGAAGAAGAAAAATATCGGCCAGCTATTCGATTCCTTCTGTTTAAAAGGAACATTGCAGAGAAATCAAAAAACGTTTGGATGCTGCATACGATGACTCTTCTCCTTTGAGGCCCACCTTTAAATAAAGTGACAAAAATCCAGAAGATATGTGAAAAAAGCTGAAGTACTAGGCATTTCAAAAGATTGCGTGGGTCATACCCTGCACTTAAATATTGAGCATGAGAAAGCTTTCGGCGCGGTGGAATCCAAGAAGGGTGACTCCGAACAACAAGCGCAACCGTGAGACCAATATGGATCCACTCGAATACACCCATGAGCTTACTTCGTAACGAGAACTATTATACTGGCCGGCCGGTATACCGGCACCGATTTTCTGGTATTCGTAAAACGTAATCTACTTAGACTTGTTGTAGGACTTTAGCATTACTCTTTCAATGAAAACAGAAATATTTACATATATTATATGTATGGTGCGGAGATAGAGAGACAGTCCAAGGGTCAATAGTGAAAATGTATTGATAAAATTTTTCATGAAATTATCGAAAGCAACCTACGTTGTAAGCTTTTTATAGCTTTTATATATATTTTTTCATAATATTAATCAAAGTATATATCACTTGAAATTAGAATAGTGTAGTGATTTAAGGCCTCTTAATAGATACCATATGTAAGTATGATTTATTTGTATCCAATGGACCGAAAGTTATAATTTTCGCAGAGCTAAGAATATATAATGCAATACTAATAACAAACGGAAAGTATGTATGAGTATTACAAAGATTAAAGTTAAAATGAAGAAAATATATGTTTAAGAAAGCATTTCGAAAAGTTTTGAAAAGTCTTTAAATTAGACATAGTTTTGTAACTTATTATTTACAACAATTAAGAATTCTTTATTTAAAGAACTATTGTTTCTACAGGAAATTTAGCAAAAAATTTAAATTTTAACTACAATAAATATTTTTTTTTACGTGAATCAAACATCTTCGTCAAGATTTTCTGTTGTGACTCAGTAAAGAAAAGGCATTGAAATCATGGCCCGTTGGATTTAATAAAACAAGATGGGGAAATAAAATAAAATGAAAAAAGGAAGAAAGGTGCCTCATTTAAAACATTATTTTTACAAAAAGACTTTGTGACCAATCAAATTTCATCTGAATATCTCATAATAAAAAATAATAATAAGCTTGTACATATAAAAATATGGTTATCTAATGAAATTTCAAAAATTTAGTACAGTAGCTTAATATATAACTCATTTATTTAAATTAACAATTTTGCATTTTGCAACATCAAATCAACAATACAAGAATATATTACTATATAATATATTTTATTATTTAAATATTTATGTTTTTTTTATTATATGTATTTTACATTCTCTGATTTAACTAAAGAGTTGTAAACTGTTCTCAACCATACCGCATACTTTCAGGCTGTAACTGTACTCATTTGCAATATGTGCTCTTACAAGTTTCTGTTACTCTCACTGTTGTTGACATGACTGTAACAGCGGAATGCTAAATTTAGCTGTTGATTCAGAAAGCAACGTCAGCTATCAGTAACAGCTTTGCCACAAATGAAAATATATGGCGCCGTGGCTTAGTTGGTTAAAGCGCCTGTCTAGTAAACAGGAGATCGTGAGTTCGAATCTCGCCGGGGCCTTTCGTTCACAGAGAGAAACGAATTTTTTTTTTGATTTCAGCACATATTGTTGTGTGTGTACAAGTATTTAGTTATATCAAAATAATTGTAACAAAACATCTGAATAAAATTAAATGCATTTGGTACAAATGTTAAGTAGTAAGTTTTATTCATACTCATGTTGTTCAGCAAATTATAGTACATAAATATACTAAACTTATGCACCTAGTATATATTATCGTACAAAAATAGTTTACGAAGCATAAAATAATGATTTATAATTCTACTCGAATGCATTGTGACACTAATATTTCATTTTAGTGTAAAATATATACACATATAACATATATATTTATATATAATGTCTGGCAAGCCTAAGTAATTTGCAAAATTCCGTACTTGGCGATATGGGCACCGACGACAAAGAGCCCGCTAGATGTCCCAAAGAGACTGTTATGGACAAAAATATCAGACAAGTTTACACAATTATTTCAAACGATTGTGAAATGAAGTCAACAGAGATATCTGACACTCTACAAATATCAAGAGAATGTATTGGGCTATCATGAATATTTGGGTGCAGAGACCCATCTTCATATCAAATCTCAAGAGAATGTTTGATAGAAGGTAATTTAACGGCATAAAGTTATTTGCTCCGACTAAAACCTAATTTGAAGCAAATATATTTTCTACAGTTAAAATAAACTGCAAATAATTTGGAAGTTTTTGCGAAATGTGATTAACTTAGATTTATTTAATTTTTCTCAAATCGGCATCTCTTAAATAACGGCCATATCGACACTGTTCAATGCTAAATTACGCAACGACCATTTATCATCTTCACTTGTCGGAATGACAGTTACATGACATTACGTCTACCATATAAGATCGTATGTAAGTACTATATGCACATAGTGTTGACTAAGGCTCGACACCGCCGATATAGATATATATGTATACATATGTACATGTAAGTATGTGTGTACTTGTGACAGTCCTTTGCCATTTAACGCCTCACAATGCAAACCGAATATCTAGAAATCTTTAAATAGCAAAATAATTAGCCTGAAATGAGAAATCCGAGGGAAAATGCATACAAATAAGCGAAATGTCAACAAGTTGTACTCATTTACGCGCTTAAATGCCGATCAATATATATGTAATAGATATTGTAGGTATTTGTGCGTGCGTATGGGAAGATCAAAAGAGAATGCAAAGGATTGGCGGGTTGTACTTAGGGCAATGCACTTTGGTTCGCGTATATTTGCTCTGCTCTAGTAGAACGTAGGAACATTTAAGCTATAAGTTAAAAGGGATCCTAACAAAAAGGAGAAAAAGAAGAAAGAAGACGGGTAGGTTATTAAAGAACGATACTTAACAGCTTAAGCTTTCATGAAACGTTCTTCCAGCAATATCAATTGCCAGCCGCTCATATATTATACAGTTTACCTATAGCGAAACCTTAGACCGAGTTGCTAAACCGGTGGTTAAAAAAAATGCTTCTCCGAGAAAACTTTATAAGACTAGTACTGAGCCCTGATACCTGGACGAGTTTAACGATATACAAGGTTGTAGGTAGCTTGGTAATAGTGAAGTTCTGTATTTTCAAACAACCGACATGACTATCGAGCTTTTGTCGAAATTGCTAAATAACTTTCAATGTTCGAACCGAAAGACCGAATTTTTACTTGTGTTCTTGATTTCGATGTCTAAAAAATTCCTCCAAGAAATAATTTCCGAAATGTGGCTGGTGTTTAAACTCTACTGAAATATTTCAAGCCTAAAATATTCAATGTAAGAAGTATCTAAATACAATAAAGAGTCCCATTTCGTTTAACTACCGCTTTCTCTAATTACTTTAGACCTCAATCGCTGTTTAGCTTTCTCCATAAATATTAATTGATTTGCACCTTAGTATTTTGGACCGAGAATTAACCATTTCTTTCATCGTAAATTTAGTAAAACCTTATGCTAACAGAATCGAAAGGACATATACAGAACATCAATTAAAAAAACCCATATCTTTAGTTTGAAGTCATTGTGAGACCCGCAAGAACCAGAGTTAATTCAAAGCTTTTGCCAAAGTTCCAAGCCTTATGAATTAAAACCAAGATAAACCTTGAATTAGCTCTATATTCATGGCTAACTTTCGTCAAGGTGAATGAAAGTCTAAGATACGACTGGAAGATTTGGAAAATGTATTATACATAACACGAAAACACGTTAATTTCGGTTGCCCCAAAGCTATAACGCCCTTTACAAATAGAGGAGTTTCCATACAAACACTTTATTTTGATCAGTCAGTTTGTATGG